ATATATATATATATCGCTGATTTTATTATTTGTTTGCTCGGGCTTGGTTGTGTGTTCTTCCTTGGTTCATGGCCACGCTGATGTTTGTTATGTGAGTTTGTGGACAGAATTGACTCTACTCTTAGACATGATGTTTGTTGTTGGAGTTTATGGACAGAATTGACTCTACTCTTAGACATGGTGATAGTTTGGAATTTTTTAAAGAGCATGTGGACATGATGTCAGTGAGTTGAACTGTTGTGCCACGCGGCGCGTCATAATGGAAATATTGAAGTATTCAAGACACACCGGTAGTGAAAATGTGAACCTGATTTGCTCCAAAACCAGCTTGGTCTTTTCTGTTGTCTGTGGTTGGCCGTGTGTGATATGATAACGTTCAGCGAAGAATCCCTCACATGGTGTCTGTAATTAAAAACACGTTTATTAAAAAAAAACAAAAAGACTGAAAACAAAACTTTTTTTTTTTTTTTTTTTTGAAAAATAGGTTGATCTAGAGGGTGGAAAGCAGAACGTATTTTGTCATTCTTGAAAATCTTGCGGCTTTGACTTGTTGTGTTTGCTGTATTCTGCTTTGTGTGTTCCTCATGGGCTTTGATGTTGGCCTTCAGTGTGTGGGAGTGTGGCAGTTGTTGTATATGTGTTGTTGTTGTGATGTGAAGCTTTGCCCTGCATGCTGTGTCACATGTGTGTGTCAGTGTGTGTGTGTGTATGTATGTGTGTGTGAGAGTGTGTGTGTGTGTGTGTGAGTGTGTGTGTGTATGTGAATGTGTGTGTGTGAGTGTGAGTGTGTGTGTGTGTGTGTGAGTGGCAGTTGTTGTATATGTGTTGTTGTTGTGATGTAAAGCTTTGCCCTGCATGCTGTGTCACATACATATATCAGTGGTCACCGGGTGGTGTGGGGGGAGTGATTGTGTGTACAGGTGATTGTCTTAAACAGCTGTTTTTCTTGGACAGGCGATTGTTTTACCAGTACGGGACCTAAGTGCTTTCTTGTCGTATCTCCATTTTTTTAAACAGTGAAAATGTGACATCTTCTTAAGCTCACTTGTTGTTATGGACTGTATTCACTGTTATTAAAAATGGAGATAGGATAAGAAAGCACTGACTTCGCGAGTAATGAAGGAAAAATGTTGTGTAGCTTGTGTCGGAGAACCAGTTTTGGAACGCGCGGCGTGCAACTTCCTCTGTCACATGACAGCTCGTAGTCTTTCGTCTCCTCTCCTTTTATTTTTTGTCAAATTCTTTTTATTGAAGCATTTTGTTATTTTTTGGGGTTTATTTTTTCCCTTTGGGTGGTGTTATCCAGCCTCATGTCTGCTGTGAACTTTGACCTTTGGGTGGTTTTATCCAGCCTCATGTCTGCTGTGAACTTTGACCTTTGGCCGTTGACCTTTCTGCCTCCATCAAAGCTTCTCGTCTGATTTAGAATGGGGAAAACATGGAATGGAGTCTTACATTTCTTTTCAACTTTGCCTCCCACATGATTTCCTGTCTATTTTTCCCTATGATTTTGGTATGTTGACAATCTTTTTGCCTATTTTCCCCAATGATTTTGGTATGTTGACAATCTTTTTGTCTATTTTCCCCAATGATTTTGATATGTTGACAATCTGTTTGCCTGATTTCCCATCAGCAGTAGGATTTTTGCATGAAGGATTCGAAGGGAACACGTTTAGACAATGCAATGAAGATTCCAAGTTTGTTATAATGGGTTTTTTTGGTTAGTTTTTAAAAAAGAAAAACATTAAACCTGTTTTTTCTGTTTCTGATTTGAATAATGAATAGTAAATATTCACGGTAAGAATACGTAGCAAATATGATGCTTGCTCTGTTTTGTTGATTCTTTGATGATGTTTGGGATGCTTGGGGGAAGCCTGGACCCAGGACTTTGAATTCATTTGTGTGTGTCAATGTTATATATAGTAACACGTGTACCTGTGTCTAACACGTGTACCTGTGTCTAACACGTGTACCTGTGTCTAACACGTGTACCTGTACCAATGTTAGAGTAACACGTGTGAAAGGAAAGTGCACCATAGTGTGTACCATAGTGTTACCATAGTGTGAAAGGAAAGTGTGTACCATAGTGTGAAAGGAAAGTGTGTACCATAGTGTGAAAGGAAAGTGTGTACCATAGTGTGTACCATAGTGTGAAAGGAAAGTGTGTACCATAGTG